AAATGATGACCAGGCTCCTGAATCAACAGACTTCGTTGATCAGGACAACAAGAAATCCAAATCAGACCTTGAATGTCCAATTCAAACTGATCCATTGGAGGTCCGTCCTGTGATAACCCAAAAAACAAAAAAAGTACAGGACAGACCGGCAGGGGTGCCGCCTGATCAATGGCCCCCTGCCCAGACTCATTTACATGTGACAGCTCGGCCATACACAGCAACAGAATTAATGGACTTAGTACAACGATTTCGGCAGAAGCCCAGAGAAAGTGTGCCGGCTTGGTTATTGAGACTGTGGGATTCTGGGGCAGAAAGTGTCGTGGTGAATGGCCCAGAAATATCTAAGTTGGCCACCATGACTGTCCATCCTGCTCTTAGGCAAAGGTTATACGTGGGCAATCAATATCGTGATGAAAACCATTCCATACTAGAATGGTTAATGGCGGCCTGCCGTATGGTATGGCCGAATAAATCAGACATACCGTTACATACAGGTATGTGGTCCTCTATGGAGGACCTTCAGAACTATATCCGTGAACTGGGTGTAAGAGAGGCCATTTATGAAGATACATTTGATGGCCCTGATATGGTTAAATTTTCGGCAGGGATGAGAGATTTAATTCTACAACAAGCTCCCTCCCATCTGTACGGCACCCTAGTTTCAATATTAAATCCCCTTGTAGCATCAGAAGCCGTAGTCCAGCAGGTTGCCCAGTTAGTTGCCGATTTGGGAGAAACAGAACGCCTGCGGACTAGGCGCAATATTCGGTTTTTGGAGGAAGCAGAGGTCCTGCCGGTAAATAAAACCAAAATGCCGGCTACTCGAGCTCCTCGATCGGGACCCATAAGGGTATCCCGAAAACAAATGTTTAATGATTTAATTCGGGCTGGGGTCCAATTTGCTAAGATCGACCGCCAGCCCAACCACGTCCTTCTCCAGCTCTGGAGACAACTAAAGGACAATCAAAAATTCCAGAGCTACCCTAAGAAATCAAGGGTAAGAGCTATAGAGAGGGTTCCAACAACAACATGGAACCTAGAAGATTTTATTATTCCTAACAGGAAAAAGAAGCCACCTCAGGACCTCATGCCTCCAGGCACATCATCGAGCACTGGCCCATAGAAGAGTATGGACATCCACTAATCATCACTTGTCTTGAACTGTACCAACATACGTCGCGATAAAATTGTATAAGCGTCGCGATATACCGGATCTCTGTATTAGGGAAAGCTTACCCTTTTGTTAACCTGATCATTGGTTCACGCCGTGAAGGGGTGGAGTGTATGGGAACTGCTGAGTCACGGCCTGAACCTCTGATTGATCACCTGAGGTGAGCCATGAGTCAGCCAGAGGAGCACAGGTGAAGGCAATTCACCTGTGCTACCGGAAGGGGTGGAGCCAGGCTCCACCCCTCCTGGACCTATTTAAGAGCTGGCTACCAGAGGGGAAGGATCTCTTCTGGAGATCCTCCTCTTTGATATCTTCTAGTGAGCTCAACCCAAGGGTAAGCTCTTCTACTTATTCTCTTTTGTGATCCTTGTTTGCCTTACTCTTTTGATTATATTGCAATTATAACATCTTGGTTATACACAAGTTATAAACATCATGCAAGTAAGATTAAAAACGTTAGCACTAATAACTTTCATCCAGTAAGTAATAACTTGAATAAATCTTAAGCCTGTTTGCCAATACTGACAGACAAATGCAAAAGCAAATCAATACAACAGCATGGAAATAATGTAGAAAACAACAAAGCTGTCAGATGGCTGAAGAAAATAAGCCACCAAGAACTTCAGGTATGTTACTGGTGAGTACGATGAACTTTTTAAAAAGCAAAAAGCAGCAGCCAAGCTCCCAGACTTACTTCACTGTACAAGCAGGAATGTTACTTTCAAACATGAACGAGCATCCAAAATACTGTTTTCAAAATGGTGTGAGGGCTCCCTCTTCTGACAATGCTTTGCAAAACCGCCCATCTGCCTTTGTCAGGGTTTGTGCTTGGGAAGACGAACAAAACTTTTCACAACAATGGAACAGTTCTTAGGAAATTATCTTCCAAAATAGATACCTGCACACAACAGAGCGTTCAAAGATAATAAAGAGCTACAGGTGTTCTCCGACAGAACTCCTGTCTAGAATGGAGCAAAATGGTTTGGAATGCAGGTCTCATGGTTTCACTGCATCCTACACATCAGCAACACATTTTCTTCCTTTGCCAAAAACAACACCAAGACATACAAAGTCTCTCCATCATCAGACAAACAGACAATTTTTCAACCCAATGGAGAAGGAAAACAAACTTTCAAAACCTTAAAAGGCTGTCACAAAAGTGATCTAAAATTTTGAGTATTTTTGAGTATTTATCAAATCATGCAATTTTGAGTATTTAAGAACAACTATGAAATTCCAGTGGATTCAAGCACCGTTCTCAATCTAAGCTCTTGTCCCCCGTTTTATTAAGTCATGAGACCGGCACCAGAAGCATCTCCCAGCTAAGCGAACAGAAAGGATCAAATGCCTTCTTTCCCCAAAAAAGAAACCATTTTGTACAGGTATTACAGTAATTCAATGTTCTGAGCAAAAGCAGCTCTTTGCTATTGCGTCACTAGAGGCAATTTCAATTATTTCCAACTTTAAGTAATTCTCACTTAATGATTAATTAAGAAAATTCATGTCTATGATTTTGTTGCTAGTAAATAACAGGAATTATTATTGCTGTTATTAGAAAAAAATTAATTTGAATCTTACAAGCAGAATTTGGAAAGAAAACTATTTTGACTCTATAACAGAAGGAAAATAAAATATGAAACATAGTATAAGATAAGCCCACTAATACGAACATTTACCAGATTAACAGATGAAGTAATCTGTGTTCAAAATTAGAAAATGTAGTAACAAATGATGCTTCAGTTTAATAGGTCTGCATTCAGTATGTTATGGATACTCACAATGGTCCAAATGACTCACTAATGCAGACACCCTTTGCTTTGCAGACCCAGTTCCCCTCTAAATCAAATGACAGAATTATTGGTCAAGTAGAGGGCCCAAGAATAGAAATAGTTATTTGGGGCTCACAAATAGTTCGGTTGCTTTAATCTCTCCATTTTTTTCCTTTTTTAATATCTGTCACTATTTCTCTAACTCCCCATTGAGCTGCTCCTCCTTTGCCTGGTTACTCAACCAGCGTTTTTCAAGCAAAACACTCAACTTCCAGTAAGCAATTATCACCTGAAATGCTTTCCCTGTTCCCTCAAAATCATGGGATTAACAAGAAAACAAGTAGCCAATGAAAATCCCTTAATTACTAGCTCCCAGATACAAGAATTTCCAAAGGCACACTCCACTACAGCTAGCATATTCAGGGCATTTCCACAGAGAACCTCAGCACCTCACTCAGAAGCTGCTCAGATAAGCAGGCTTACTGATTTACAAAGCCTGAAGAGTTCACACATATCTTAGTAACCGAGAAGATTTTAAGCATCTTTTTGTATAAGATGCTTTCCCTCCACTAAACTCAGCATCCTCAGTAAACAAAGCCAGAGTATGATTTTCCTCCTACAGTTTACAAGGACCTGCTATACAGCTATAATGCTTCACTATCCTTCAATATAGAGCTACATACTCTTCAGCTTCCTCTAAAATCCATCTTTAAACAGTTCTGCTCCCTCTTATACAGAACCTTAGAACTACATCACCGTTCCCAAGTGCCAGAAGTTGCCTTTCCAGCAACAGCTGATTTCCCTGCTGATCCCCTCTTCTCAGGTGGGTGTTGACACTACTTATTTTCCCTGACTGATGATCTCCATCCAATCATCCACGTTTCCAAATTCTCAGACACATGCTATGAAAGCATCATGACAAGCTTATATCCTTTTGTAGCAATATGGTGCAAACATCCCTGAGAAGATTTTTAAATAGATCATTTGTTAATACTTTACAACCAAAATGAACAGCTGAAGGCCAGTTGAACAGGCCAGGTCAATTTCAGGTAGTACAAGAGGAGCAAAGAGGCCACAAGTCCACAATCTTGACAATGACTATCTGAATAACAAGAAAGATGGGCCAGTACACACAGCACTCCTAGCGAGTACATAGAGCACAACCTGCATTTCTTTCTGTCAGCAACATTATGCTGTGTAAGAAACAAAACATGTTCTTTAAAACACTAGCCCTTATCAGCAAGAGGCAGCAAAAAAGCAATTATCAGATGAACAGAGCAGACATCTGTTTTAACCAAACACGTAACTAACAAATTTCGTTTCTGCTGAACCTAAATGCAGCTTCAGAACCCTTCCCTCCAAAAATGGAGCACATGTGAACATAACTTAAGAGCTGGAAGAAAAGTAGAGCATTTTCTATTGCATCTCATCCCATACTGTTTTAACTGACCAATGATCAGAAATTCAGCCAAGTCAGACAATAAAAATACCTCAAGTTGCATTTGCACCTACTATTCATTTCTTTATTCCATCCTTTTCCAGAAAAGTAATATGAAATCACACAAACCACTGCAACCATTCAAAGGCTTCACACTATCAATTTATCTCAGCATACAGCAGAAACTTACTGCCAGACCAGCATAGCACAGTCTATACAATCACCACATAATACAGCATTAAAGATGTTTAAGTAAAGAAAAAAAGACTTTTTACAAGAAACCATCACACTGGAAATGTTAGCACAGTCTACTAATAAATCTGGTTTCCCTCAACAAAAAAAAAAAAAAAAAAAAAAGGCATTTCTCACCTTGCCTTCAATAACCTTAGCTGTTACTGAAGTACACAAATTAGCTTCTTCTGATTCAAAATTCATCTCGCTTACAAAGTCTAATTATCATTTTAACTGACGTTATCAGCCAAGTAACTATCCACATAAACAACAGCAATGCTTCTACTTTTGCAAAGGGAAAAATAAGTCAAAAGTATTAAAGAACGTAGGCAAAATAGTTGTTTGCAGTTTGCTTCATATTTCTTATTTCTATCTTATCAACGAGGTTTACCTTGTCACAGAAATCAGTGAGAGCTGTGAAGTCCCACTTCTTGGCATATGCAACATTGTATCTCAGAATAGCCTCCTGCGGAAAGAGCACAACAAAATAAAGCCTAGAAACACTGCCTTAACAAGAGGAAAAACATTTTATCAGATCTCCTTTTTGAAGAAACAGTTCCATCCACCAGATACAACCTGCCACAGAGCCCTGTGAATTCCATGTGGCTATGAAGGAGGATAGTGATAGGACAAGGGGGAATGGTTTTAAACTGAGACAGGGGAGGTTTAGGTTGGATATTAGGAGGATTTTCACACAGAAGGTGGTGATGCACTGGAACAGGTTGCCCAAGGAGGTTGTGGATGCCCCATCCGTGGAGGCATTCAAGGCCAGCCTGGATGTGGCTCTGGGCAGCCTGGTCTGCTGGTTGGTGACCCTGCACATAGCAGGGGGGTGGAACTGGATGAGCATTGTGGTCCTTTTCAACCCAGGACATTTCATGATTCTGTTAATATGGTGCAATTCTGAACAATACTGAATCTCACATTTCAGGTCCAGCATCCAACAAGCTGTCCAGCATCAAATACAGGCTTACCCTTGTAGCAAAAAAAAAAAAAAAAAAAAAAAAAAAAAAAACCCCACAACCAAAACCAAAAACCAACCACCTCAAAACAAAGCATGCTTTTGTCTGCCTACAACCCATGATATAAACATCCCTCCCTGCCCAGCTCTTGCCTTCTTTGTAGAGAAAAAGGACCTAGCAGAATTTTTACCAGTTTAGTAGCCTAAAGAACCATAACCAGAACAAAATCAACTACGCCCTTCTTAAGAATCAGCCTTAAAAACTATGAGAAGAATGCCAAATCAAACAGTATTAACACAGGAAGCAGAGGGACAGCAATTACTCATTTCAAATACACCCACAGCTTTTGCACACACCTCCTTTCTTGCCTCCCACACTATTCTTAGCAGAAATCGTCTGCTACATTGTCCCAGAATTGTTTCTAATTCTAAGCTGCTACAAATGACAATTCATTGATTAATTCCTGACTGAAAAGCCAGAAGAACAGTAAAATTCATCAGCAGGTAAACTAGTCTCCAAAAAGCAAGCATTTTTTCAGCAACTTGCTTTCTTGCCATTTTAGAGGAACATTGTCAAGAGATATTGTTTCAAATTCCCGTCTGGGCATTGCACTTTCATTTTGGTTATAGAAAAAGCCTGCATGCTACATACATCACAAACTGGCAGCTATCACTGGACCAAGAGCTCTGTACAGATTTATACAGAATTTGTTTTAACAACACCTGAGAAATTTGATGGTAACATTTAAGTGCCTGAACTTTTTTTCCCAGCCCATCACTGTGCACCAGCATGTTGCATATATTACACCTCAACTATTCTAAGCAGTCAAGTAACAGGCAAACACATCAAGCAAACCATGGAAACTCTCAGGTACAGTTCTCTCCTCTAACACAGTAACATTACTCTTTTAATCCTGATTAAAGATGATATGTACCTTCAGCAAACTAGCAAACTTCAAGTCAAGTATAAGTACCTGATGTTGACAACAGATGTCAGCATGAAGATTTACACCAGTAGGAATGTAAAAAATGACAAGCCAACTGAGAATCTAACTGAAACTCAGAGCAGCTTCATCACAATGCAGTTTTCATGACTTCCTGGCCACTTACAAAAGTGGGCTTTTCAGTATTTCTGTGAAGGTCTTTGTAGATTCCACAATAAAGAAATGTAATTTCTCTGTGACTGAGTGATTTCCAATTGAAGTTAATTAATGGCTACATTATTTATTTAATGTGTGTACTGCCAACTACCACTCCAAGCAGCTGTTTTTCAAGCATCAAATATCCTGCCTAGTCTGCCTGCAGAATTACCCCAAATAGAGTGAACCAGATGGGAAAACAGACTCCAAATAACACCAAAAGCACTATTTTAACCTTCAATTTTATTAGGAGAATCCAAACTGGAAAGAAAACAGATTACACACTGAAGTTCCAAAAACAGTGTCGCTTGATTTTAAGCACCAAGAAAGCTAACACTATGTACTTTATAGAGAACTAAACACATGACTTTGATAATGCTGCTTAGCAGCTATTATATTTATAACAGCATTCAGTGGAGCTGTTATTTAAAAAATGAAAGGCACAACGAGAAGTGACCAGCAGGGGAAAATTAAAAAAAAACAAGTTTCCCAATCTCCAGTTTTGAATGTGTAGAATTCATGAAGGATCCTTTAAATAGCAGACTGTCTATTTCATTATGAAAAAGATAAAATATAGGACTAAACCAGAATCATTTACAACAGTGCATGAAGAGCCTGAAAGTACTTTTACAGCTTTCTGTATATAGAGCCAATTCCAAACTGAGAAGCTTACCTTCAAATCATGCGAGCATGTAAATTTGTTGAGTAAGGCAGTTTGGATTAGCTCCCATCTACTTCCAGCAGTTCTATCTCCATTCTTTGAAACAAAAGCCCAAAAATAAAGTCAGACGAAGTTACACAAATCAGAAAGATATAGTTAGTAATAATTGTCTTCCTTGCCACAACATTTTATAAGTGTTACTTGATTTCTGAAGTTCTCTAAAAAAGATATGTATCTGTACTTTTGTAAGTTTCATTCACATTTGTCAGCATCCCAAATTGTTTTATATAAAAAAATATATATATATACACACACACATATATGTACACACACCAGCCCACAAAGGGTTTGGAAAAATAATTACTAGAAGAAAAAAAATATACATCTTCCTCTTCTTAAGCATCACAACAAAGAATGTAGTGTTTTTCAGACCACATATGTTCATCTACAAGGTCCTCCAATTTCGTACACAGCTTGTCAACAGAGCACATGTGAAAGCACAGCAAACTGAAAACAAATCTACACACATAAACAAGTTTTATTGCACAGCTGTAAGCATTTTATCTTACCTCATCCTCTACAGGATACAGATTTTGTTCTGAGCAGGGCATTTTAACGTGTTTGTTGTCCCACAAATCTTTGTAGTGAGTTGGAAATGGTTTAGGCACCTCTCCTTCCCTCAGGAGGTCTACCTACAACACAGGAAGAAGAGGAAAGAAGCTCAGGCTCTACTTCCTTTGTAGAAAGAAATAAAGAATAAGCACAGACTGAGTTAAGAAAAAACTCTAAAACCCAATTCCTTTAGAATGCAGAAAGCTACAAGCAAAGTGATGGGCATTCAGTTAGGAAAAAAAAAAACAACAATCTCACCATTAAACCCATAGTAAGATAAGCTACAGCTCAAAGCATAAGGTGAATGCTCAAGAAGTTTACAAAGAAGAATTTCACAGCTCCATTCAGATTGCAGGATCTCAGAACTAGAGGATCTTTAAGGTCCTCTTAAGTCTTAGATTCAGTGAAAGGAATGCAAAATCATCTGACTGCTTGATGCACATTAAAAGTTACATACAAACTTGGTTTTATGTCCAACCATCAGCTGAAGTATTCCTTATTTATGAATTTAAGAAGTACCTACACAGTTTCAAAAAATACTGTCAAAACAGTTCCAAATGTAATCATATCCATGTACAAAAACAACATTCTTAGTCTTTAACACTGAAGTGGATAATAAATCATTACAGATACAGTAATATCTCAAGCTTATTGCACAGAATATCAGAAATATAAAAAAAAACTGGGTAATACAATGTTCCTAAGGACCTGGTCTGCTACACAGCTCTGTGATAGCAATAATTTTTCTCATAACTTGCACTTAAATTTAATGTGCTTTTCTTTTGTTTAGGATTCATCCACGACCTTTTATGTTTTATTTATACAACAATTCGACTGCACATTACTCCAAAAGACTAAAGGAATAAATCAGATTTAGTCTAAAATTCATTGATACACTTGCATATGATTTTTTCCCTCTTCTCTCCAGATCTTGAACCTTTTGTACGCCTTGAACCCAAAACAGAATCACATGACAATCAAAATGTAACACCAAATCATTTTAGTACAATTTGCAAACAAACTCTCAGTTTGCAGCTCAGACAAGAAACTACGCACACTCATGAAAAAAAAAAAAAATTATATATGTATTTGCTCCTATCAGGCCAGAGCAGTAAAACTATAATCACATATATTTTGGATGTTAATATCTTAGTTATTAGGAAAATAACTAAGGAATATAACTGATAATAACTGATTAGGAAAATCAGTTGCCCCAGCCTGCTGGAAAAGAATAGCAAAGAAAGATTCCCACTGCCTGCTAATACTGTGAGACTGATACAGCATTCCACACTTTGAACAGCCCAGTAAGAAATGTGATTTCAGGTAATACACTGAAGTACCATACCCTGACAGTTACTGTATGATTGCCTGAGGGTCTCAGATGTGGAAGACGAGCCCCACACATGGGCATTCTCCTCATCTCTTCAATCGGCGTCCCAAACCACTTCTTATTAGTTGGAAGAGGTGGTGGCACATACTTAGGGATCTTCCTTCCCACTCGCTGAGATCTGAATTCACATTTATCTTTCCTGCTGTTCAAATAGAAACACACTGAAAAATGTTATTCCCACTGAAAAACTTGGTAGGCAAATAGAAACACTTACACTTCAGGGTTACATTTACAACCAAGCCAATTTATTTGCTAGCCTTTGCTGTGACCGTTCCTTGAAATCTGACTTTGTCTTGGCTGGCTGTCTGATGTTCTCAGAGTAATATGTAAAAGAAGCTAAAAGCCTACACTTTGAGGTACTGTTTAAAGTTGTAAACTCCCGCTAGCAAGATTGCTCCACCCTTGGATAAAGATGCTGTCCAACCTGTTCATGCTGCCTACACATGCCAGTGCCCCCCAGGTGCGAGCAGCCAGACCTTACAGACCACATGAATAGGGGCAACCACAGCAGCATGACACTTGGTACAGGTGTACCATGCCCATCTGAGAGCCAAAGAATAATTCTGGCATGGCATTACTGATGACTTAGAGCTGTTCAAATCACTATTGCTTCTTTCTCCTCAGGTTATGATTTCAGTCACTCCACTCTGCTGTAACCTGATCTAACCGAAACAGAGGAAAACTTCAGTATTTGCTAACTGCCCTCTTGAGCACTTCAGATAATGCCACTATTTTGCAAGGCACAGGGGTCCATACCCTTCACATCTTGCTCAGGCTCAGAACATCTCTACAGCTGCATATGCTACCCTCTAATTGTTCTGTAAAGCACTGTGAGGATTCCCACCAACGCACGCAGTGAAACCTTTCCATCAGTTTCCCATCTCAAACGTGTAATTATTGCAACACACCACACACCTGCACTGACAAACACAGGCCTGCCTCATTCAGCCTCTGCTGCTTTGTTACATATAGTAGCAGCAAATTTAAGTCAGCAAAAAGGATATTCACTAAGCTCATGTTTTAAGACTTGTGGAAATGACAGACATTTTTCAGGCACATTTTTTATCTCACTTTCTAAGAACTGCTGGCTTTTGCTTTCCAAGTCTGCTCTCAGCCACTCAACTCCCCAGATATCTCAAATGCAAGCTTCCACCACCAGCCAGCTGCCCTCCATTGCCCTCAGGCTCATTCCCACAACAAGAATGGCTTGTGCTGCTCCTCGCATCCAGAAGGAGCTCCAGCAAAGACGTGCAAAATACCTTCTTGCCCTACTTTAGGAGACATTAGTCTACTGAGATAATTGCTTATGATGTCCTCTTGTTTCTACTTCTTCATTTGCCATTTATTCACTTTCCCAGCTCCCACTTGAACCTGAGCTCTCCAGGGCATAGATCATCTTACTGTCCTTACACAGCAGTCAGGATATAGTGCTGGGTCACGCTCAGGACTTGCATTTCTGTTAATGTAGCACCCAAACATTAGTCCTCCTCTCTGCCAAAAAAATTAACACATCATTGCAACTTCTTTCAAATAAATGGAATTTTTCTTGTTGGTGTCAGAGCATCAGTAGCACTGATGCTTCAATAAAACCAATCCAGTTATTTTGACAGCAAAGATGAAAACTAAAGAAAAAGAACAACAGAACACTACCTTCCTCAAATGTTCTGAATGAAATATTAAATGCTAATACTAAGCTTAGGAAAGCAACCCTGCACCACAGTTTGTTTTCAAGCACCAATTCTCACAGTTTTAAGACACTTCCCCAGCAAATAAAATCACCTTCATTCACTTTCTTTAATTCCCAGTTTTAACAAATCTAATATTTAAAAATATTGCACTGAATAAAAATATCATTAAAAAGTAGTCTAGTTAAAAACAAGTTACGTCAAGCTTACATCAGAGCTACCTTCATGCCTTTACATGCATTTTGCAATGCTCTTTACACAATCCAGACTCCAAAGTTTATCCTGGGAAAGAGAATTTTTAAGTGTGAACAAAACAGGCGAGGCAGAAGGAACGCTACCTTTTCTCTTCCATTTTAGGTATCCTCATGAAATGAGAGGTGATTTTGGAGTCTTTCTTCACTCCTGGTTTTGCACCTTTGCTTTCCGATGATGGAGCAGGACAGATCCCAGGTGGTTTTATATGCAGACCATCATCCTTGACAGAATTATCTATTCCCTCAAAGTCTTCACAACCCTTAGTAGAAAACCGTGATTTCCTTGACTCCAGTTCAGCATCCCCGTACTGAATTCTGAAAGATCTGCTTACAGATTTGGCCATATGATTCTCCTCCCGCTCATCAAGAAGTGGACTCGTTTCGTCATCAGCCTCTGACCCATGACAGCTATTTTTGGAATTGTCCACATCCATGGGTGATTCTGGTTCACTTTCTTTCTCAAAAGCAGGTGAATCCCCTGAACTACTTCGACATTTGCTCAGTTTCTCAGGACCTCCAACACGGGATACACAAGCATCGCAGCCAGTATCTGAAAGTGGGCTTTCTGGAATGACATCCCCTTCTTCTTGTTCACCTGTATCAACAGAATCGCAGCTCCTCAGCTTCTGTGAGCTGCACAAAACCACCTGCCCATCTGTCTCGGTATCTTTTGAAGAAAGTTTTGTATTTCCCATTTTCAAAGACTGGCCAGACAACCGTTTCCTCTGAGTCCAAATGTCACCACTTTCCTCGCAGCCTCTCTGAGCCTCCTTGCCAGTTCTGTGCATCTGATCGATGTTGGCATTTTTAAAGGCCTCTCCAGTCTGTTCTGCCTTCACAGGCACTCTGTCTGAGACCGGATCTCTGCCCTCAGCCTCCCAGTTACATATGCTGCCTGTCTGAGGCAAATTTACATGCTTTGTGCCAACTTCCCCAGATACTTCTGGATAATTCTGCTGGCAAATATTCTCTAGCTGTTTTACATCATGCTCACAAACGTTTTCTTTTTTAACAGAAGTCATCTTGGTATTTTCTTCAGTATTGTTATTAATTTTGCTTTGAAGGCTGTGGAAGAGAAGTAAAGAAATTTAATGTATTACCTCTAGAAAATATTCCAGTACAGAATTTCTTTAAGGGAATGATTTCTACAAACTGCAGAACTTTAGGCTTTGGTCTGTCAGTAAAGCTGGAAGAGAGAATACAAACCTACACTCTAAAGCAAATCTGAAAAAAAAAATCCAAATTATTCACTTCCTCCTTAAGCATCCTCTTACCTTTGCCTTGTAAAGTGCTTTTGCTCACTGTAACTTCTGAGCTTGTACTCCACACTTCTGCACTGATCATTTTCACAAGTCTTCCTGGCTTTTCTTGGTCATTTTAGCACTGCTACTGATTTCAACTTCCAATTGTTTACAAACACCAATATTAATATATTCACACTGTGATGACTGAAGAAGAGTAATAACTGATATTACTCTACATAAGATAGAATTAAAATCAAGAAGAAATGAACTACCTAGCAAATGTTGCTCCTAGCACATTACTCTCACACTGTAGCACATGCCACGCAACACTGAAGCTTCCAAAACATCTTTGAGTACCCTGTAAATTCTGATCCAATTTACACCATACACATAATCACAGCCCAATGAGATGGACTGAAATTGACTTTTTTCTATAAATTAACAGCTGTGAGCTGAATACAGAACAATAAAATGAAACCCTCCGCCATTACTGAGTTAGGTTAAGCCAGAACAAAAGGCAAAGCCATTGACTACAGACATGGCCTGATAACCACAGCTGCCTGACTGCCTCTAGAAGCAGCAGCCCACTCTGCCTTACCCTGCTACACGTTCTCATCTTTTTCTTTACAAGAGCAACCTCAATGGTGAGTTGGAAGCTAAGTCAGCAAAAAGGTTTACTACTCCTGGGAGAGTGGGAGATTAGTTAGCTTTCTGTAGCAAAACTCTGTCAGGCACTTACACTCAGGAGGTGTGATACAAAAGCAAAAAAGCAGAAATAAGGTTGATTTTTTTCAGTAGCCACCAGTACAGGCAACCAGCACTCTCAGTTCTGCACAGGTCCACTCAAAGAACACAACTTCTGAATAGCGCCAGTGAATGTTTTACCTTCGGGACTCAGTTGTCTTGGGTCCTTTATTCTCCAACCAAGTGGTAATTGTCCGTTGTTTACAAGCTGAAAATCCACAATGCAGTACATCAGTACATGAAGTATGATGACATTGCTACACAATTGCACATGAACACTGGATAGTGATAGGACAAGGGGGAATGGTTTTAAACTGAGACAGGGCAGGTTTAGGTTAGATATTATGAGTAAGTTTTTCACATAGAGGGTGGAGAGGCTCTGGAACAGGCTGCTCAAAGAGGTTGTGGATGCCCCATCCCTGGAGGCATTCAACGCCAGCCTGGATGTGGCTCTGGGCAGCCTGGTCTGCTGGTTGGTGACCCTTCACATAGCAGGGGGTTGGAACTGGATGATCATCATGGTCCTTTTCAACCCAGGACATTCTATGATTCTATGAATAAGACCAGATGAAGACAAAAGCACCACAAATAATTCTTCACTACTATCCCCACCAAAGGAAGCACTCAGACACTATTAAAACTACACCTGATGCAATATTCCATTTGTAACACAGACAGCAGCTGCAGATTTAGTAATAACCTTTGTAAATTCCAGACTTTTGTTTTTAATCTAGACCATACTTAAAATTGCCTTGGAGTGGGGAAAAAAAAAAAACAACAATCGCAGATCACAGAATGGCCCAGGTTGGAAGGGACCTCAAGGATCATGAGTTTCCAACCCTCCCACCACAAGCCGGGCCACCAACCAACATTTAATACTAGACCAGGCTGCCCAGGGCTCCATCCAACCTGGCCTTGAACACCTCCAGGGATGGGGCATCCACAACCTCTCTGGGCAGCTGTTCCAGCACCTCACCACTCTCATAGTAAACAACTCCCCCCTGACATCTTCCCTCCCTCAACTTAAAATAATTTCTTCAACCTGAACTTTAGAGCTGGCATTATCACCTTTAATTACCACCAGCAACACAGAGAGTCCTGAAAGGCTGCTGAACTTCAGAATGAAGTGAAATTACATAACTTCCAAATTAATCTGAAGAGAAAACATTCTAGAAGATCCAGCCGAGCACCTCACTTGTATGCCACATACTGGGAGAGACTTCACATCAAGATCGTGCACACTAAACATGACTAATGTTCAGAAAGAAAGCTGTTCTTTTTAACTCTATCCATAGACTACCCATAAAGCTTACTAACACTTTTTCCCCTAAAGAGAAACCAAACACGTGGGATGATTTTGTCACATTCAGTGCCCCCCACATTGGTCCAGTGAACGTGATCACATCTCTGTGATGTTACACTTCAGGCAAGCTTGCACTAGGACAAACCATTAAATAATTACACAGAGGTTCCAGGGGGCTGGGAGGAAAAAAATAAAGTAATTTTCATTTGGAAGATGTTTTCATTTTGCTTTTTGCTGTCATTTAAAGCCAATTCTGAGCAGTTGTCCAGTGGCTGCGGTTCTCTTTCCTTCCCTTTGCCAGATGAACTCATCTACCTACTGCTTTTGACTGGCATGGGGCTCAGCCAAGGGGGTCAGGAAGGCCTGCAGTTTCCTTATCGCAACAATAGATTTAGAGAACTTTAAAAAAAAAAATCATTACAAGAGATTTAGCTACACTGACAAGCATCATCTCACCGCCCGCAGAGGTGAAACACGAGTCATTTAGGCCATAGGCAACTGCAGCCGGGCAGCGATGGCCCTGTGAGGCGGCGGGCTGCCGGGCCGGGGCCGCGTTCCGGCCGGTACGCACCTTTGTTCCCCACGGCGGTGACGGACCAGTCCCCCCCGGGCCACTCCAGGCAGCCGTCGGGAAGCGGCGGCCGCTGCTCTCCCCGTGAGCCGCCGCCGGGGCTGAGCCGGGCTCTCTTGCAGGGCTGGTCCCGCCCGCAGCCCGCGCTCATCCTCGGCGGGCACGCCTCCGCTCCGCCCGCCCGGCCCGCCTCAGCCGCGCGGGCCTGCCAGCGGCCGCCGAGGCTGAGCGGCGGCCGCCCTCCAGGGACGGCGTGACGACGCGGCCGCGGCGACTTCGCCTTCCCGCATCGTCCGGCCCGCGGCGCCCGGCCGCTCCCGTCGCGCCTCGCACCAAAATGGCCGCCCTGCCGCACTCCGCTCCGCCCCACCGGAAAGCAGCGAGGGCGCCGCTTCACGACGGCGCCTCTTCGCGACGGCGCCGCCGTCGCTTTACGGCAGCGCGGAGGTCGCGGTGGCGGGCGCGGAGGCGCCATGGAGGGCGGCGGCAACACCACCAGCAAGGGCAGCGGCCTCGGCGGCCTCTTCGGCGCCGGCGGGGCCGGGTATTCGCACGCCGACCTGGCCGGGGTGCCGCGTGAGTAGCGGCCGGCGGCGAGGAGGGCAGGGCGGGGACAACGTGGCGGGGCCGGGGCGGGGACGCGGCCGGCAAGGCGCCGGGCCCGCGGTGAGGTCAGCGGTACCGGCTTTGTGCCGCTCTGCGGCCGCCCTAGGCTCGATGCTTGTCGCTGTGCTCGCTAACGAGGACCGCCTCCGTTAGCTCCCTTACGTGTGGGGCTGCCGCACGCAGCTGTGTCATCGTGGTCTTTTTGTCTTTGTCCCCAGTAACGGGAATGAGCCCTCTGTCCCCGTATTTGAGCTTGGACCCCAAGTACCTCGTACAGGTGAGATGGACGCGTGTTTCTTTGCATTGAGGATCTTGTGGCCGTGCTGGAATGCCTCAGAATCCCCGCAGGGCAGTGCCTACAGCCCCCACGTGGCAAATGGGGGTCAGTTCCAAGTCTGATAAAAGCACAGCGCAATGGCTTCTGCTACAAAACCAGCAAGGATACTGTGTCCATGTGCCAACAGTGGAAGGAGTTCTTATGCCTCTTCCCCTACTACCAGGCACATGGCCCCAGCTTTTTCACATCTGGGCACTTGGCACATCTCCCCCCTGTCAGTAATGGCTACTAGCACACTTGTTTCCTAACACAGCTTCATGTTAGCTAACATCATAGACCACTACGTTGTAAGAAAAACAAATTAATTAAAATCCTGTAACATTTTTCTTTTCCACTAATATTAACAAAAGCGTGAAGAGAGTCAAATTAATCCAATAAGGATGCATGCTAATAATTTTATTTATATATGGCTTATATTGTCTGTGATCATTACATCTTGCAGAAGTAGTGCTGAAGGTCTCCAGTCGTTTAGCATCTGCTAATGTGTGCTTCTGATTCTCAATGCAAAAGTGGAAGGCTCTGAGCAAAGTTAAGGAGCTGTTGTTTCTGTTCCTCTTTCACTGGGAGCTGCTGCAGTTAAGGTTACAATACAACAAGCTTATAGGAGTAGGAAACAAGGGATATGCCTCTGCATAAGTGGATTCTCTGGCACAGTTATCTTTGCCTGCTGTTGCTGAGTAGTCAAAAATATTAAGTAGTTACTTAAACCTCTTCTCAAAATACCCTCCAAAGTAACCTTGTATTTAAAGAGCACTCATATACTTTCAGAACATGGAGTGAATAGTTCTCCCTGGCAAAGTCAGCATTTTTGTTGAGAATCCTATGCATCTTTTCAGTGTCTCATAATAAAAAATTAAAGTGCTTTGGCTAACCTCACCTCTATCATGTGCTGCTTTTCAGCAGGTTTCTCTAGCTCATCATCTTTTCAAACTTATCTGACTTACAAGAACACAAGTCAGCTCCTGCAGGAAAAGGGCTGTAAAATACAGCTGTAAAAACTACCAACCTCACATTTTTTTTGTGCCTGACATCATTGTTTCAAATGCATTCCATGTTCCTCCACTTCCCATATGTTAAGGACTGGTCGCTTGAGTGCAGCCATACACTGCACTGATACACACAGTTCTTCCATTAGCATCAAAATAGTGGGAAACCTTAAAGCATTTCTACATCTGTATAGGTTGCTCAGTGAGGAACAGCACTACACAACCTGAAGAGAAAAAAAAAAAAAAAAAGAGCCTTTAAATGACAGCAGGTCTCTTGTGGCCTCCCTAAGGATACAGAAATAAATAATTGCCAAGACCATAGAATAAGAGTTCCTTGGCTTGTTTTCTTTACTATGAGAGTGGTGAGGTGCTGTAACAGGCTGCAGTCCCTAGAGGTGTTCAAGGCCAGATTGGATGGGGCCCTGGGCCACCTGGTCTGGTATTAAATGAGGAGGTTGGTGGCCCTGCATGTGGCAGGGGGGTTGGAGATCCATGATCCTTCCAACCCAAGCCCTTCTGTGATTGGCTGCCTGATATTATTTCTAGAGAATTATGATAGCTGGAAAAGAAAGAGCACCCAAATCATTTCATGGTTTTTAAGTATTCCATTCTTTTTGAAATATAGGACTTATATTTCACATAAATCTAGTGTAGATAACATGTCCAGAAACATTGCTTACATCTGTTGTCGCTTTAGTTCACTGCATGGTTTAAAAAAGCAATCATGGTATACACTTTGTATTTTCCAAGTGTATCTGATTTAAAGTTGTGCTTTTTTTCCTCCAGGATACAGATGAGTTTATCCTACCCACAGGAGCCAACAAAACTCGGGGCAGATTTGAGCTAGCCTTTTTCACCATTGGAGGATGTTGTATGACAGGTAGGTGGTCATATTTTCACTTTTTCCAGCTATTACAACAGCCTTTACCTGTAGTCTTACATAAACAGCTGTTTAACTTCAGGTTATACACTTTGAGTTTTCTGAGTGCCTACTAGTAGTGTTTCTGTTCTTTTTCCTGCTAACCAGGGGCAGCATTTGGTGCACTGAATGGCTTGCGACTTGGCTTGAAGGAGACTCAGAACATGGCATGGTCAAAACCTAGAAATGTACAGTAAGTGCTTGACTGCAGAAGTTCAGCTTAGTAACAGTTTTTTTTTCAGGATGGAACAAAATTAGCTGTGAACGTATTGCAAAACTAAATGTATCTATGTCTTTAGTGGAGATAAATTGGAGTCCAAATTTGTCAACAATAAGTTTTGAATTGTTTTTAGACTAGAGATGTTCAATAACTTTGTTTTTCATTTAGTGACAATTATGTCTCCTGACTTATCTTAAATATTTGAGAGACTAAATTAGAGCTTTATTATTTATAGCAATCTATTTCAAAGTCAAGATTGTATTTGTTGAAGTATTCCCAAAAGCAGCAATTTGTTTAGAGTTTTTTTTTTTTTTTCTCCCCTTACTTATCTAAGAGCGAGTTCTCTTTGCATTCCTCAACTTATCAGAACCGGAAGGAAGTTAGAAAGCAGAAGATGTACTTGCCTGGATTTGCATGCTGCTGAGCAAGCATTGCATGGTGTTCTGCGCACCAAGTGGCATAATGACTTCTGACATTCATGACTTCTGACATTCTTGGCAATACCAGGCAAAGTATTTGCAGGTAGTTTGCCTGGTAGTCTAATAACCATATAAAGAAAGAACAGTACTCACTCAACTGGTGAAGGGAATCTCTGGTTATGTAGCACTTCTTAGAAACCAGCTTAAGCCCAAGAGGTGCTTTCTTTACAGTGGCTGGCCCTTACATGAGCCCAGGAGTCCACCCCTTCTGATCACATGGGGAGCACAGGTGTGAACAATTTGCCTGTGCTCCCCGGGCCAGCTACAGCCCTTCACCAGGTACTCAATCTTCAGTTCCAGCCATGACCTAGCAGTTGGCCTACATCCTACCCTTTCACAACACGAACAGTGACTGGGTACTGTTTACCCTACAAAGCAGCAAAATTGCTTCTGAGAAGTTCTTTGCAATACCCAGCAAAGTATTATTGGAGAATACCAACAATCATATACAGGAAAAAAGTTTGACTCACCCAGCTGGTGATGAGGATCTCTGGCTGCAGAACACTCCTTTCAAGGAAGCAGCTGTTGTCTAGGAGAGGTTGTCCCTGCAGAGGCTAGCTCTTAAATGAGCCCAGGGAAGTGGACCCACAATACACCCCTTGCAGTCATGTGGGAAGCACAGGTAAATTGTCTGCAGCTGTGCTCCCTGGGCCAGACACACCCCTTCACCAGGTGCTCAATCATCAGCTCAGGCCATGACCGAACAGTTCCCCTACAGGTGCATTTGGAGATAAGCTCGTGCATTGGGATCACAAGTCATACAGTCAGTAATTCCCATCTGGAATGGGCATAAGTCAGTGAAAAGATTCACTTGTGCAAGCAGGCTTCATAGTTGTTGCAGGATCACACACACAAGGTTTGTAGTTATTGCAGAATCATAGATGTTGTGCGATTTTTCCCAGATGTCCAGGTTCTTCTTCTCTTCAATAAAGTCCACTACCAGGTGCTACTGAAGAGAACATTACTAGGACTCCTCAATGACATTTGAGCACATCAGAGTTGAGTGACATTGTTCCTCCCGCTGGTCTTACAGGTCATAGATCTCAGGGAGAGTAAAACAACTACTTAACCAGTACCAGAACAAGCAAAATCCGTCCTCCAAGGTAAAATATGTGCTATATTACAGTCCTGGGCCAGTATTTCTGCCAGAACAGGGACATGCTGAAGTCATTTATACTTCATTTTTCAGCCCAATATTGATGGTTAGGTGATTAGGTGATCCCCTCACTGCAAGAAAGATATTGAGGCCCTGGAACGTGTTCAAAGGAGGGCAACAAAGCTGGTGAGGGGTCTGGAACACAGGCCATATGAGGAGAGGCTGAAGGAGCTGGGAATGTTCAGCCTGGAGAAGAGGAGGCTCAGGGAAGACCTTATTGCTCTCTATAACTTCCTGAAGGGAGGTTGTAGTGAGCTGGGGGTCGGCCTCTTCTCTCGTGTCATTAGTGATAGGACCAGGGGGAATGGTTTCAAGCTACGGCAGGGGAGATTCAGGCTGGACATGAGGAAGTATTACTTTTCAGAAAGGGTGGTCAGGCACTGGAATGGACTGCCCAGGGAGGTGGTGGAATCACCGACCCTGGGGGTGTTCAAGGAAAGACTGGATGTTGTGTTGAGGGACATGGTTTGGTAGGAGCTATTGGGAATAGGTGAACGGTTGGACTGGGTGATCTTTTAGGTCTTTTTCAACCTTAGTGATTCTATGATTCTGTGATTCTATGATTATGTCAGGCACCAGAACTGGGGTTGTTCTGACCTACCAAAGCAACACAGTGTGTTCCCTTCACAATGAAAATCAGGATTTGTATATTGTAATTTCTGGGATACATGTACCAATTACTTGCAGAGTTACTGATTACCACCTCTTCTAGTAACCTCCGTGCAGTGCAAGCAAGTCAAGCCACTCTGGTCTTATCTGCATCTTCTAAGACCACTTTACCTTTGCCTGTGTCCCTGGCACAAGGTCCTGAGGGGCAGGGAGCAGAAGATTATACAGCACCCCAACTTGGCGTTTCAAGCATGCATCACTCCCCTTGATTTGGATTCTAAGGAGGAAAACCCAAGATGTCTGTAATAAACGCAGGACATTGGGTTGACCATCTCTGCATTTCTCATTTAAAACCCTCAGCATCTCATGAAATCATTTAATCCACCACTGCAGGGACAGGTAACCAGGCTTCAGAGCAGTCTTTAGAATGCCATTTCTGACTTTGAGTTGTAGATACTTTACCCAGAATCCTGCTAATTACACCAAATATTTTGCTCACCAAGAAGCAAAATTCCTTCTGACAGACTGTTGGCAATACTAGGCAAAGTAGTTGCAGGTAGACTAATAGTTGTATTGAAAAATAATGCAACTCACTCAACTGGTGAAGGGGTTTTCTGGCTGTGTAGTACTTCTCCTCAGGAACCAGCCCAGACCAAAGAGATACCCTCTATGCAGTGGCTGGCTCTTATATGAGCCCAGGGTGGCTCTAATCTGAGTCCACCCCTTCTTGTCAAGTGGGGAGCGCAGGTGCAAACAATTTGCCTATGCTTCCCAGGACAGCAACATCCCTTCACCAGGTGCTCAGTCACCAGTTCAAGTCGTGACCTAACAGTTCCCCTAGACAAAGTATAGGATTTTCTGGATCACAGCATCTATGAGTATCCCCAGCATTCCCAAACTGACACCTTATCTTGTTGTTTGAAGGGATGCCGTATACTTACATAATCATTGGTAGTTTAGACACCACTATAAGAAAGCATAAGTGCCTTTAAAGGAGGCATTGCAAACCAGAAGAGTGAAATAACTGAGGGAGACTATTTTCGTTCTTCTGAACTACTTTGGAAAAAGGGAATTTTGAACAAGCGATGTACTATTATTTCACAGTCCAGTCTGTACAGACTCTTCTCCTTTTAAAAGTTTCTGTATTTTCCATCCCTTTCTTTACCATTTGTAGTATTAAAGATAAAACCAGAATACTCCCCGTGAGCATTACGACTCTTCCATAGATGAACAAAATTGTACTTTATGTATTCAGAATAACCTTAGACAACATTTTCATGCAGATTTTGATGGGTCCAGCCCAGCAGGTGGCAGTCATTGCACATGTTGCTGTTCCCTTGTCCTTGCCCTGCAAGGGAAAAGGCACATTGAGGATTGTCATCACCTTGAATTAATGTATTAATTTCAGTCTTTTCCAAATCAAAGGCAAGGAAGGGAAATGTTTATCTATATCTCCTTTAAATTCATCCTAAATATACGCTTTTTAAAATACGAATTTTGCTGCTATTTGCCTTCAGATATCTTGTGATATTTCATGTGTTAAAGTAATAGTTTTCTCATCAATTCTGAGTTGATGGAATGTTGACAAAATGGGGCTGGGGTTTGATTTGAGAAGGAGACTGTCAATACCCTGGTCTCTTCGGTGTTTTCCTCACTTCAAAATGAAGTTCATTACATAACCATGTACCAAGAGAAACAGCCTCTCTTCCTCTCCTAGTTAGGAAAGAGGAAAAGTAATGAGAAATGAAATCAAATGAACTCAAATGAGAAGGGATACAACGTGTAACATTTTCATTGTGTTAAGTGATGAACTAAGCTCCAGCGGTAGTCAGCTGTCCAGGGCAATACTGTGCCTGTGGCGGTGTTACACTGCTGGGAGATAAAAATCAGTCATCTCTTCTGGCTATTGTCACTGTTCTGGTGACAGCTGATGCCAAGAAGTGACGTGGTGCTTCCCTGAGAGTGTGCTGAGGGTTTCATTTTGCTCTTCAGTGCTAGTCCGGAAGCATACATGCAGAAATATTTAGGGTACCTTACTTCTGCTGTGTGCTCCTTTTCACAAATGGAAACACAGGATTTCCTCTTTCCCACTGATATGAGTTTGTTCAGACTTGTGGTTTCATTCCCATCTCACTCATGTAGGTGTCACCAGACTCCCTGATACATGATCCCTGTTTTGCTTGCACCTTCTAAAAGAGCACTCTGGCTTTCTTGGAGATGTTACAGTTAAAACAACTCACTTATATCAATTGTTCTCACTAGCTATATGAAAAGCTGTGTTACAAACAAATTAGTAGGTTTAAGAAGTCATTTGAAGTGATGAGATTCATATCTTGATATGGCACAAGTCTGTCTCAAAAGACAGATTTTCTTAAGACTGGGCAGAAATAAATATTTGCCTTGAGAAGTGCATGCCCTGCTCTTTGGAATATGCATGATAAAGCAGATTATGTATTACCAAGTTGTATGCTTTTCCTAACTGTTCTATTTTAGAAGGCTTTTTAGTTTGTCATTCCAGTTTCAGTGATAAACATGTAATATAAACACTTCATACCTGCTATCATAAATCCAATAGCATTAATTCTATGGCTTAGAATAATGCCTGACTGTAAAGCCTTAGTAGAGTACTAAAGCTTTTAATATCTTTTTAACTTCTTTACAGAATTCTAAATATGGTGACCAGGCAAGGAGCATTATGGGCTAACACTCTGGGATCTCTGGGTAAGTGAACTTGTCATTTTTAGAGAAAACAATTTATAAGTATGTAACTATGTCAAGGAGAACATATCCTTCTACATTTTCATTTTGACATCCACCAGGAACAATTGCATCTGCTTCTTTGGAATTTGAGAGTATAGAGTATTTCAGCAGAAAGGCCAAAATTGCATTTTAAGAACAAGTAGCCAGAAGCCTCTAATTAATGATATTTCTAGTGCATTAGAAACAAGAAATCTAGCTATGGAATGGAAGCAACAGACAAAAAATTAAAGGTAATACTTAACGGTTAGGAAATTCTAGTTAATTCTATACACCTTAAGGCAAAAAGTATGATTTGGATCCTTTTGAAAGAAATAACAACCTAAAAAGAGATTGTGGTTATATGAGCCATTCCCTGATGTCTGTCTCCAGGTAAAAATCAAAATGTTTCTGCAGAAGAAATGTGATATCCACTAAAAAATTTTGTAGTTTTATGGTGTTAGCTTGGGTGGAATAATTGCATATGATACCAACTTCAGGTCTAGACATTGCTTATAACTAGTACGAATTAGAAAAAGAGCAAAGAAAATTATCAAAAGCCTGATGGGAGAACTTCTGTAAACCGAGTGGGGGAGACAGAACAAAAATTGCTTCAGAAAAACGATTTATGGGAACTTCATGAAAGTCAATGGAATAACTGAAGTCCTGGAAAATATAAGCTCTTTGGTTGGTGTTCCCATCCCACCTCCCAGTCAGAAAAAGAATAAACTCTTACTCTGAAAGGAGAACCATGGAATCATAGAATGATTTGGGTTGGAAGGGACCTTTAAGAACATCTAGTTCCAACCCTCTACTACAGGCAGGGACACCTCCCTCTAGCCCAGGTTGCTCAGAATTCTGTCCAGCCAGCCCTCAAATGCTTCCAGGGAGAGGGCATCCACAACCTCACTCTGCAACCTGTTCCAGTGTCTCACCACTCTCACAGTAAGGAATTTCTGTGAGAAGTGGAGAACTGATGAAAATACGTTGTTTTGAAATTGACCAGTGATGGAACTCAGTGCCCCACAAAGTGGTAATGGAAGATAAATGATCAGTACGTAAAACCAACTATGTAGTCTTACAACCTTACAGTATTTTATATCATAATTTAAAAAAAAAATAATGCAAAGCACAGGCTAAATTGCATTTATTACATTTTATTTCAGTCTTATTTCTGAAGAGTAGATTAGCGTGCCAGTTAACTTAGACATCAGCTTTTGAGACATAATGTAGAGACCATGGGATTCTGAATAACTGAGCATGACAATTTTCAAAAATTGAAGCATTTGCCTAGGATTTTTTCTTTTTTGTGTGTGGTGAGGGGGGGGGGGGGGCCGCAGAAGGGGGGCTGGGGGAGTGGTATCTGTTCCAGCTCTAATCAAAACATTTCTGGAAAATGGGGATGCAGGAACACTGCAGTTCAAGGTCTGAAGGTAAGTGACACATTAACAGGATTTTTCAGCTGTGTTTGAAGAAAGATTACTCAAGAAAATGTTTGTGCATTCCAGTAACAAATTGTTTCTTTTGTTACAAAGTATGATTTCACGAGTCACAGAGTTAAGCAGAACTTTATATTTGGGGGATTGGTATTAGCTCTGCATCATCCTAAGTACTGGAGAAAATCGTTGAAAGAAGCTAAAGAATGTTTGCATTTTATTTCACTTGTGCAATATTTCTGTGTATCAGATTCCTTTTGTTGCTGCAGACAATTTTTGTCATTCTGTTCAGCAACATCTTTATTTCAAAGAATGTGTTGAATGTATCTTGTATGAGGGGAATCTTCCTTCCCCTCGTTGTTCATACAACATGCAACTAAGACAGTGAAAACCACCATTGCCTGTCTGGAAAAAGGTGCTATTACTTGTCTCATCAACTTTCATATGGCCGCTTGTAGCAGAAAGAGAGATTTTAACTCTTAGCAGATGAAAGTGACACAGTGTTGTCATCACATGGAGACCATGACATACTCTCCTGTCCTGAGCCTGAAATGTGATTATACCATCAGACTCCTTGGGGCGGGTTTGGGAGGGCTTCTCCTTTGTGCAGAAAGTTTAAGCTGTGTATGCATGTATATTGGAAGTTCACTCATTTCTCTTTTAAATCCTCTTTAGGATAGTTGACAGACTTCTCCAAAGTCTGGGGACAAAGTTCTCAAAGGTCTTCTTCAAAGACAGAGATGAAGCAGTTGTATATGTCAAATTCCAAGCATTTATGCAGAAACGTAGGCCCTTGCTCTCCAGTCTGTGGTACCATGTTCTGAATGCTACACCTGCACAACTGGCATTAAATCTTGGTGATTTATGGACAACAATTTGGTCTGTTGTCTAGAAAGTGTTGAGCTGATTAGCTTTGTGCCATCTCCAGAGAGCAGTATAAAGCCTGACAGTACAAAGTTAAATCCTGGAAAGCTTTTAAAAAATTTGAGCTAACAGAACAGACCTAAGCCTCAGCCACTGCTTGATATCATCTGTTTGTCATGTCTTCAGACAGTACCAGATATCATGAGTAAAGCTACTTTATGACCAAACTATGGCTAGAGAAAGGTTATCCTGTAAAACTATTGGGGCTGGAATAAACACCAAAGACAGAAAATCTGTGCACAGTCTAACTAGTTACACTGAGCCTTGATTCTGAGCGTGGTGTTTTAGACAGTGGGAATTTTAACTTGAATTTTTTAATACTTTTCCTTCCCAGCTCTGCTGTACAGTGCTTTTGGAGTCATCATTGAAAAAACACGAGGTGCAGAAGATGACCTGAATACCATAGCTGCTGGAACCTTGACAGGAATGCTATACAAAAGCACTGGTAGAGTGACAAAATGTTTTTATTTCTCCTCTTGTGCTTTCTTCTAGTTATTAGGACTTGCTACTTTTTCTAAATACTGTCCTGCTCCAATAATTGAGAGTATAAAAATGGTATATTAGGCACAGAACTGGAACGTAGCTTTTTGCAGTTGCAGTTGTCATATGAGTGACTTGTAATAAGCTTCATCTTGAAGCAGTCCAGGTGTTCTGTGTATTTCTCATCTCCCTCTCCAACCTCTCCTTCACTATGGAAGGAGATTCCCATTTCCTTGCATCCACTAGCAGACTTGTAGGAGTGTTGATTTTTATTCTTGCTATACCTGAAGAACTCAGCTAAGAACAAGCTGGGTATTTTTTTTAGATGATCTCATTGTAAAGCTGAGTAAACATTAGGCTGTTTATTTGGCATATGTATATAACAAACATAATTTGGCTCTCATTATTATTGTTAGACCTTTGCAAGTTGGAAAGAATGCAGCTTAATTCTGCTGGAAATGTTATTTACCTTCTTAAATGCAAGTTTCCCTTCAGCAGTCTTAGTTGTGTGAAAAACAATGTGTGGGTTATGTCTCAGCTACCTGTGAGATATGGTGAAGTTGCATATCTTTTTTCAGCTAATTGAAATTGTTTACTTATACCAAAAAGGGAAAAAAATGATGCTGTCAGCTTCTAAGATTAAGAAATAACAGAAATGTTAAAATAGGAAGAGACCTTAGCCTTCTCTGAGCATATACGAAGCATTCATCTGGTACAATCTTAAACAGTTTAAGACAAAACTACTTTCCAAATGGGAGTTAATTAAAAAAAAAAGAAAGTCACATCTGAGGAGGTGAAAAATCAGGAATTCAAATGGAACACTTAAAGAAGCCTTACGATTGTTTTCTAAACCTGAGATTTTATGGATTTGTATCGTTAAAGTATGCAGAAGTTCATATATTTGTAAAGCTATCACGTGGGTGTTTGTACAGCAGTTGTGGCAGGACTCTCATCTTTGCACAGTGATCAAGACCAGCAATGTTAGAGCAGCGTGGGTTTAAGCTGAGTTTGCTGGTGAATATTGAGTTGTTTGCAAAAGAGAAGGTCTGAACTTCATCAACAAGACTTCTGCTAACACAGAAGTTATTATTCCAGGCTCAGCAGTTGGAGGGATCATAATTTTTAGAGAATTACTGGGTACCACAGAAAAAAAAGTGACAGGTTTATATACTTCAATAAAAGTTAGGCCGTATAATTCACCTGTATGAGGAGATAATTCTGTAATTAACCTTTGTACTTTCGCATATTTTGCTGAGCCTCAGTGTTTTAGAAATGTTCTTCAATATCATCTTTATATATGGAACAAAGCAGCTTGAGATACCTTATTTTTCTATAGATTTAGATTAATTAAAAGCAGCAGTCACTGGCTGGAGCAGTCTTAGAAATGCCAACTGGTACATTTAACCTTGCTAGAGCATATAGCTCTCTTGCAATCAGT